ACTGTCTAGCTTCCCTGGGACCCTCACTTGAAGACAGGAAGAACAGGAAGTTGGAGAATTTTTCCAACAGAGTCACTAACTTGAAAAGCATCATGCTGCTCAGGGCAGAGACTGCACCTGTGTGAGCTCTTCAGTCTCACAATGCCTCCCCTCCTCCTGAGGGTCATACAGCCAAGCAGAATACCACTGCAGGCGCAAGAATGAGTGATAGTTCTGCAGGCCTTGGGGCTCGCTGAAGGGAGCAGAAGGGTCCAGCACAGCTCTGGTGCCTTTATGTATGTATTTTATCAGGACTTGCTATAAAGGGAAATTTGTTCTAGTTTTAATTTTGGGGAGGATTCCATATTTCCTCACAACACACTGCTTAGTTAATATAAGAAACCACAACGATTCAATATTGCATTAGTTAGCTTTCTGTCACTGTGAGACAAAATTCCTGAGAAAATCAACTTAAGAGGAAGGATTTATTTTGGCAGAGTTTCCATTTGATGGTTTCTTGGCCCTGTTGTTTGGGGCCTGTGGCAAGGCAGCACACCATGGTAGAAGCCTGTGGGGGGATGTGGGAAAGCTGCTCATTTGTGACAGCTGGGAAACAGAGAGACAAAAAGCACCTGGGTCCCAGTATCCCCTCACATGCACCCCCCAATAACCTAACTTATTTCCATCAAGCCCCAACCCCTAGAGGTTCCACCACCTTCCAGCAGCACCAGAGGCTGCTGACCAAGGCTTTAGCTTATGGGGGTCCTTTGGGGATATTTAGATTCAAAGCCATAACACATATCCTTTGGTGTATAAGCAAGAATTAGCCATATGAAAACAATTTAAAAATCCAAATTAATTCTGCTAAGATTGTGTAAATAAATCATATTGGTTGATATATTTAGTTCAATGTCAGGGCTAGAAGGGATCTTCAAAACATGCATTCAGAGATCTTCAAAGCATGTTTCTTTTTATAGATGAAGGAATTCAGGTCCAACAAAGCAAAGAAATTTGCTCAAGGTCATTGAACATGTTAGCAGAACTGAGACTAGAATGCAGATCTCCAAGTTTATTCTACTTTTTTGGATCACCCTATCAATGACCATTTCCATCTATTGCTACATACTTTCCCATGTATCAGAAGAAATATCAAATCCCTGGTAAACTAGGGAAAAATCCCCAGTGGTTCTTACTGCTTCCGTGACACATATAAAAGCAGGAAGAGAAGGGAAGAATAAACAAACAATTACCTTCCTTGCTACCTTCCTTCAATGGTACATTCAAACAATGCAATGTCTAATATTTGACTGATTTAAACTGAATGGTTTCACGTGCCTCAATTCATCAGGCATGATGTGTACTATGCAACTATCACACTGTAGAAATAATCCCAGGACAAGTCCTTGAATGCCTTCACCAATCCCCAGCATTCTCTTCCAGTAGGAGATTCCTTAGACTGAAAGAGCTGGCAGCTTTACTTTTTGATTTCTAATGACAAGGACATGTTGACAAACGTAATCCTGTTGTTTTGATTACATATCAACAAACTGGACCCTGATCGTGACATCGCAAATGGACTGATGACATAAAAGAACTACGGTGCAAAATGTTTGCCTCCAAATGTACTTGAGTAAGTCATAAAAACACACCAGAGTTCATCTTTGATAAACGTGGTAAGATAGAATTTACTGACACTGCCATTCCTTTTGATTGAATATCCGAAAGCCCTGGCAGAGGACAACAGAAATGGGACAGAGCCACTAAAAGAACAGCGGGACGGGGCATGGAAAACAGAACAACTGGGTTGCGTCTACTTGGTATCATGGGGCAAGGATTCAGCTTTTACTCATCTCAACAAGCATGTGTGGAAGTTGCAATCTTAACATTTAATGCTACATAATCATGCATTGTGAGGCCAAGAGCTCGACTGATTCAGCTTTGACCCAGAGTCACTAACAGCGAAGATCAGCAATGACAACAGCAATGTAACATCTCCCGTCTTCTGAAGAGCTCACCGACGTAGTCCTCAGCAAAGCCCAGCCAACACATGAAAAAATGACTACAAATTGAGAGACTGGGCAGTCCAGGAGTCCAGCCCAAGTCCAAGAACTCCACTGGGTCCGAACCCAAGGTGCAACCAGGCTGCACAGCCAAAGTCTGGCCTGAGAGCCACTTTCTGCAAGGCCTGGCTGTCCAGTTCCACAACCACAGCTGAAGAGAATCTAAGACTATCTCCAAAGGAGAAAGCCCAGCTTTCGTCTGACAGAGCTTCTCTGACCCCAGAGGAACGCACAATAGGAAATGAAAGTTGGACAGAAAATCAATTGCAACAGGAAACAGGATGATCCCTGCTCAGCTCAGCTCCAAGATATATGGCTGTAATAACCCAGCGCAGCAGAGCCAGGAACCCGGCAGGCAGGAGGGGGCAGGGGACAGCCCCGGGAACCACCTAAGGGACCGAGTCAGAGCCAGGCTTGTTCATCGTCATTTCAGGGAGGTTTCAATTCATTTGTGTCTCTACCGATGTAGGAGGAACAAACAACCGGAAAGACCTTTCTAAAAACCTAGGGGTAGAAGTGCTGAGAGAGCTATGTCTGAAAACTTAACAAAATGAACTTGCAAGCTGGTTGCAGTGGTGCACGCCTGTGATCCCAGCATTGTAGGAGCTGAGGCAGGAGAAACACAAGTTCCAGCCCAGCCTCAGCCTAGACAACTTAGTGAGACTCTGTTTCAAAATTGAAAATTTTTAAAAAGGACTGGTGATGTAGCCCACTGTGAAGGCCCTAGATTCAATCCCAGGCAACACACACACACACACACAATTACATTAAGCAAAGCAATACACTGTAATTCCCTACAATAAGAAACTGATCTCCTCAGAGGTTCCACTCAACAAATAGTTACTGAGTTCCTATTATGTCAAAGTAGTAGAAATTGAAAAACAAATGAGATATACTTGCTTCTCAAGCCACACCACAATTTCAGCTGGGGCAGCAGGACATTGTTTTCATGAACGCAACTCAAAGTCTCCTGAAGCCTCCACAGAAGTGTATTTTGGAACAACCGGTGTCCTCCAACTTCCTCCCAGAGACAGAGGGACCCAGCCCAAGCAGGTTCCTGAGAACCCTCCTCCCATCTCTGCCTTGCTTTACCAGTGCATTAAAATGGATCAAGTGCAGACTCTGGTCACAAGAGTTACTAACAGACACAGTAAAGAGGATTTTTCCAAAGTCCAAATGGACAATGGCCTGTATGGTTGTGCAAAGTGCTAGAGAATGCTGAAATTATTCACACTAAATTCAATTTTCCAGTAGGTACAGCAGAATGGTGAAAAGAATTGTGGAAGTGGACCCAGAAGGTACCCAGAAGGTACAATGTCTAGATCCACATCTGTCCAATGTCAGGTGTTGGCTGGGCAACCCTGGCCACACCACTAAAATGCTCTGTGCCTCAGTTTCCTCATATGTCATGGGATACCTGACATACTCCTCCTCAGGACTGCTGGAAGATTCAAAAAGATCATTTATACAGAAAGCAGTTTGAAAATTCTAAAGGGTTCATAAATATTAATTTTATTACTACATTTCTAAGAATGCTTTCTTCTGTATAAAATTCATTTGCCTTTGCCTAGGAAAACAACATCTGATGGCAGAAGGTCAGGTGGAGAGGGAAAGCAGGGACCAGAACTTGCCCTCCTGGAACCCAGGAGGCGAGTGATCCAAACTCGCAAAAAAATAAATCCAGAGTTGAATATAAATGCAAAGTGAAAACTATTCATTGGATCAGCCCTCCTGGAAAGAGATTTTATTTTCTGTGCTAGACTCCGGGCAGGCAAGTGGGTCTGAAGGTAGCAGAGGCTGGCACAGTGACAACAATAATAAGGAAAAGGACGGCAATGTGGCCGTTCAACCCACGCTCTGGGAACGAGGGTTCAGCTAGGAGGCAGGCAGGAGGCAGGGAGCTGGGGAGAAACACAAACAGGTTCAGTAATCAATCCAAAATCACAGTTGTGAAAACCACATAAAATGCCATCTGGCCTCCTGGATGGTGTGGAACATTAAGCAAAGGCAGCCTTCCAATACACATGTTCTCATTTCTCTGAGAACAGCTCTTCTCATTGCCAAATCAACTGTGAGAGGGTTACCAGATCCTGGTCCAGTTTTTGTGTCCCTGCCAGAATTGTTCTGAATGCTGGCGAAGCACTTCCAGGATCAGGGACAGCATGGCTGGGTAGCGTCCCTGGAGCTGAATACCAGCCAGGGACACGTGAGATCTCTCCTGCTTTGCAAAGATGGTTTGCTAATGGCCAAGTCTGTCATCCTCTTGTCTTGAAAGTTTACACACACAGCTGAAAATATTCTGCTCTAGAAATTAAAGTGTGTGATAAAGTACACATAACATGGAATTTTCTGAATTAACCATTTTAACTACACAGTTCAGCAGCATAAATATAATCATAATATTGTGCGACCATCACTGCCACCCATATCAGAACTTCGTTATCTCCCCAAATTGAAACTCTGAGCCCATTAAACACCCCCATTCTCTTTCTTCCCAGCCTCTGATAACCTCTATTCTGCTTTCCAGCTCTACAAATCTGCCTCCCAACTAAGTGGAATCACACAACATCTGTGCTTTTGTGTCTGGCTTATTTCACCTATCAAGCGTCTTTCTTCAAGGTTCATCCACATGGTTGCATGGGTCAAAATTACATTCCCTTTTAATCCTGAATAGTCTTTCATTGTGTGTATATATCACATGTTATTCATCCATTCATTCATCCATCCATGGATTTAGAAACTAATTTTTTATAGTATGACCTTACACTGAGTGAAAGTAAAATCTGTCTGTACATGGCAACATTAGGCATTACTTCATCTCCCAGATTCATGAGCACATAGGAAATCTGCCACCATCCTGTCCTGTCTCCCAGACACAAGGCTCAGAGCTCACAAAGAACAGCAATTGTGTCCTCATTTGACACTGTCTCCATCAACCAACACAGGGCGGCAACAGTGCAGGCACTTGGGAGATGTTTGATAAAGAACAAAGCCAGGCATATACCTGTAATCCCAGCTACTTGGGCAGCCGAGGAGGAAGAATCACAAGTTCAAGGGCAGCCTGGGTTAGAGAGAACCTGTCGGAGCTGACAAACAACCAGACTGAAGCCTTACTGAACACTCTCACAGGACCAACATCGAGCTGGATGCAGCGACACCAAGACGAGCGACAGAGCGGCAGAACCATCTTGTGTGAGTTCCGGTCTGAACCGTGGCTATCTTTGGCAAACCCAGACTCCCCAAAGTTCTACACTCACGCAACCTCCTTCACGCTCCACCGCCTTCACACAAACCCAACCAAAGCTCTCTCAGGGTGAAACCCAAAACATGTTTCTTGGGAAAATCCACTTCAAACAACACTGGATGGTAGAATTTTTCTACATATACTTAAAGGATGTATTTCTTTCAGTCCGTTCATGATTTTTTTAAAGTATTGTTTAGAAAAAGAACTTACAAAAACACTAAATAGAATCGTCTCTAAAGTCCAAATTGTCTAGAGTTTACTCTCTTCCTCCTGCACCATCTGCCATGGGTCCAAATGCATCCACATCTTTTCATGTGCTGCTCAAGACTGATGGAAAATACCACTTAATGGAAAATCACATGAGACCTGCAGAAAAGGAGATTATGATTTAATTTCAGGAGACAGGGAAGCACATGGGTAGAGTTCTCTGTTTCTCCCTCCTGCTTGACCACAGGCATTTATCACTGGTCAGTTTAACCCAGAGTAATGGCTCCAGGTCCATGGGTATATGACATAAAAGGCCAGTCGATTCAAGCAATAAACTGGTTTAATTTTTTAAAAAATCAATTAAGAAGCTGGCTGGATGTTGAACAGAAGTACCTAATTAGCTCAGTTAAAATATTACACTGATGGTGTGTATAGAAACATTTACATCGAATGCATTTCCACAGACTTTCATAGATGATATATTCAATGTTTGAAAAGAGATCATTTCTTTCCATTCCAAATCAAGGATTCTAATATGGTTTTGCTGCATTATTTATGATTTGGTTGGTGTGAATTCTAGTTTGACTCTAACTCTGCAGTCTTTCCCCACGAGTTTAAAGAGATAAGGATATGCTTACAAAAATATCAAAGCAATCAAAGTCTGCAGCCTCCATGGAACCCACACCTGCCCTCCTTAATTAAGAACATTTCCTTCAAGAACTGATCTCAACTCTTTCCTCACCTCCACCTCCAACATTTGTTCTTTCCCTATTCCCCAGAAGAGTGGACGGGAAAAAGAAATCAGTCATGTCAATGAAAAAAACAAACGTCTGCCGTATATGTGATTTCATTTTGGGCTGTTAATTAACAGGTAGTCTTAGTAACTTTGACTACTTATAAAGCAATTTATAAAAGGAAAAACAGTCACTAAATTTCTGAGTCATTATAAAATACCCTATTCGTTAAAAGGCGCAGGATGGGACAATGTGGATTAGGGACTGATACTTTGGCTCTTTGCTGGCTGATGGAGTAAGAAGGAGAAGCAAGGGAGGGGAGGCTTGGAACTGATCCTCCTCCCTTTATGACCTGGTGAAATGGGAGCCCAGAGACTCCGTGGGAGGTTTCTAACACAACTGGACTGCCTTCCATTTCTATGGTTCCTTTCTCTGAAAAGCCTCAAGTGTTTCATGAACCTTGCCACAGACTTCCTGTCCACGGCCCCTCAGGACACAAAAACAGGTCACTATTATGGTCTCTATTCCTGAAAGCAAGAACACAACAGTCTAACTGCCTCAGTTCTCAGGGGAATTCTGCCTAGGAGAAATCAGAGTTTAAACTTGAAAATTCAGAGACTTATTCATCTTGCTGCTGCTTCCAAGAAGACAAGTCAGAAGGATCAAATTCAATGGTATGCAAGTTCCTAAACAGAAAAAGGAGAAGAAAAAGTATTTTACCCTTTTCTATTGCCGAGCTTCTATTCCCAAAATCTCTTCACTTACTAAGAGCCCCCTGCTATCGGGCTGACCCCTATCTAGAGAGACGCTGCAGTTACCACGGTCGGGATCAGGCCAGGATACTTTTCACTGATGTCAAGAGCAGTCAAACAGGCTCTTGCTCTCCACGTCAGATCAAAGGCACCAACCCTGCAGCACCCCATTGCTGCCACAAGTCCCCAACTGCCACCACAGAGCCCGTCTCTGCTCCAGCACTCAGACGCGATCAAGACAAATCAATCTGGACCTGGCCAGGCAAAGACAACAGTAAAATAAAAGAGACAAACCAAGTAGACGACAGAGAGAAAACAAGGTTTTTCCAAGCCTTGGGGATGGAATTATGAGAGATTAAAAACACACGCTCGCATAAGGCTCGACTCAAAAGCCTCTCTAAATTACATTTCTCAGATTTTATTATATTAACTTTGTGGCACAGTTATTAAACATTAAAGATAATAACTCCATTCTGCAAGTAACTTAATATTGAACATGATTGAGAAGCAGGACCTGGGCTTTCAAAAAACCCTTGAATGTGGAAATCCAGGAGCCAGGGCAGCATCATTGCTCTTGGGCCACTGGGTTAATGAACTGCTGCTGCCCAGCACAGAACTGAGAAGGTTTCATTAAGCGGAAGCCCAGCAGTGCCACCTGCTTCTGTGACTCCCAGACTGCCAAGGGAAGCAGGAAAGGGAAATGGAGTGCAGGCACCCTCGCGTCCCTCCGTCCACCAGGATCTGCCCCTTAGTGACTCCCAGAACAGTCATGGCAAGCTTAAAAGGCAATGCTAACAACACTCCTGGGTCAGAGAGAGCCAGAGGAACCCTCTGCTTTGCCCCAAAAACCAGGCACCTGAAATTAGTGAAAGGTTCTAAAAAGACAAAAAGTGTTTAAAGTGACACCCAGTGGGAAAAGGGGGTGCAAATCCCCAAGGTGGAGCGGGCACCATCCCCACCCTCATAGGTCACTTCAAGGCCTCTTCAGGGATTTATGCAGCGACACTGAGCCCTGGGCCCCTGCCCGGCTGGGCAGCCCAGGTCTGAATGAAGTGGGTGGTGCCGGGCAGCTGGCAGTAACAGCCATCCCTTTGCTGTGCCGGTCTCTGGGCTGGGAGGTCACTGTGCAACACTGGGCTCAGGAGGGCTCTAAGTGCATCCAGGAGATGTCCTTGAGCAAAAGCTAAGGAACGGGCCAGCAGGGACTTCAGGTAGGCCCTACAGTTCGGGCTGCTTTCTGCCTGGCCCTCCTCTGGGCAGGAGTACATTAGCAGTAAGGGATGTCGTGCCTGGTCCTGCACACCTCAAACCTCTACATGGCAGAGGGCGATGTTTAAAAGCAAACTGGACCGTGTCTCTTCCCAGTTCGAAACCTTTCAACAGCGTTTCATTCACCACTGGGAAGGAGGGAAGGGGACCTTCTCCACCCACGTCATCCTGGGGTCCGGTCCGGTCCTGTGCGCCTCTCCTCATTCACACCCTCACCCCAAGCTCCAGCCCTTCTCTCCTGTTTCCCAGATGTCTTCCCCTTCCTGGGACTACCTGCTTGCTCTCCCTCCATGGAACGTGCTCCACTTGGCTACTGTGCCTCACATGGTCACCACCACCTCCTCCCTGGAGACCAATGCTCCTGGTCAGCTGACTCCCACTTATCCCTGAATCTCAGTTTAAACCTCATGTCCAGCCAGGTGCGGTGGTGCATGCTTGGAATCCCAGCATTCTGGGAGGCTGAGGCAAGAGGATCACAAATCTGAATCCAGTCTGAGCAATTCAGTGACTTAAGGACACCCTGTCTCAAAATATAAAAGGCTGGGGAGTAGCTCAGTGTGAAGCCCCTCGGTTCAATCCCTACTACCACACACACACACACACAAATATCCCAACACAGCAGGTCCCACTTTTATGCATTCTTCTTCAGTTCTACCATCTTTTTAAACTAATGACACCTGTACTGTCCAGTCAATGCCCACCTCTACCAGTGGACAAGAAGCGCATTTTCCTTGCCATGGTCCTGCCTGGTACCAAGTCTGGCCTATACAAGGTACCCAGCAGTGTAGCAGGTGCTCACAACATATTTGCACAGGAGGACTTGGGAGCTGCCAGGACAGCACAAAGGCCTGAGTGCCGGGAAACACTGCATTGGAGTGAGTTGGAGAGGAGAGGAGAACGACAGGGATGTGGAATAGAACCAAAAAGAAATTTCCTTTTCTTCGATTTTCCATGTCTTTGGCTAATATAGTACTTGTTGGATTCAAACAATACCAGCACTTTAGAGCACTTACAACATGCTGAGGATAGTGGCTGGTTTGCAAAACTGTGCTCAATTATTCTTCTCCCCGTAGCCCTGTCCCTCTGCAATGTGATTTTGCATCTTTTCCCTTCAGGAAGTGGAGTCTGTTTCCCTGCCAATCCAGCCTAGCCTCGTGACTCCTTTGACGAGGAAGAACCCTCACATTGTGCCAATTCTGAGCTCGGACCTCAGAAGAGCATACATGTTTCTGCTCACTTTCGGGGAGCCTGCTGAGCTGCCACTCCAGCAAGTCCAGACCAGCCTTCCGGGAGATAAAGGATCACACAGAAAAGAGAGGAGACCTCCCAGCTGAGGTTAACCTAGATCACTCAGCCTCCTACTGACCCGGAACCTGACAACAGACAAGGAAGCCGAAACCACAACTGTAAAGCTGAGCCACCCAAAACTACCGTTCTGCAAAACCACGGCTAAATAATTATATGATGTTTCAAGACACTCAGTGGTGGGGTGGTTTGTTACGCAGCAAAATAGAGCTGATACACAACTAGGCCAAGTGGATAAGGTATGCAAAAGTGGAATGGGTGAGGTAGACACGACTTTCATTTGTGCGTGCATTACTGAATGCTAGGCTTCCTGAATGCTAGGCTCTGGATTAGATGCTGCAGATACAAAGGGAACAAGACATAGTCGCTAGTCCCAAGTATAAGAAGATACAGGCAACTCAAAAATAAGGTGTTGTAAGTACGAAGACAGAAGTACCCTGGAACTGGAGGTAGGACTGGAGGTAGGCTGCTGTGGGAAGGCTTCCCAGAGAAAGCGATGCCTAATCGGAGACCTAAAGGATGGAACACATAGAAAAACCAGACAGTGTTTTGTGTGGCAGAGGTTTGCTGCTCATATTTTCAATCTGTCCTGTTCACTGTCAACAGGGGGATAATGTTTATCGTTTCTCTTTCACCTCTTGATATTGCTCCTCTATGCTCTGGCCTTTTGAACAAACTGAGAAAACTTAGGGACTAAACTCCCAACTCTCCTACAAAATAATTGCCAGTTTGGAAACCTATGACTCCATAAAAAGTTTTAATTGAATGCCCCTCTCCCTCCAAATAAAAGGAAAGAAAATCAGATGGATGGGAAAGGAAAACAAAGAAGTTCTCACTATGTAGCTATTCAAGGGGGAAAAAAAGACTTCAAGACTACAAAAACTCATTTGAGCCACAAAGCCACAATTTAAGTTAGCAATTTTCACCCTTGATGTTGCACACTACCCCTGATTATACCAATTAATTAAAGTGGGTGCATCTGGTTCCTTCTAATTTTCTGCTATCAGGCAAGAAGCAGCTACTAATAAATGCTTATTAGATGATTTTTTTCGGGCTCATACACTTGCTGAGTAGAAAATCACAAGAATAATAATAATAATAACAGCCTAGGGTAATAGAAGGGTTCTACAGTGCCTGGATTCCTGTAACTTGCCAGTAATTTCTTCAATGATAGCCTTCAAGGGACAGATATGCTTTAAAATCCCACCCTACAACCACACCTATGACTCAACCAAAAAAAATAATTTCATTACACATTATAAAGAAAGTGGCCTAAGACAGCTATGGCAAGGATTCCAAAATGACTGGTGATTCAGAAGAAAACATTTCTCCGCTACTTTTAGTCACAAACAAACCAGATTTGTTCTATATGGAATGCATCTATATAAGATGTAGCATAAACCTCAGTGGTAACTGAGTACAAGGGAGCTTCACTGTTAGTTTACCTGATTTGCACACACATAGAAGATAGGAAAAATCATTGTTGAATGTAGTTGGGTCGACACTTCTCCCTGAAAGCATCAACTGTTAACTGAAATCAGGGTCTGCAGTTGGCATGGTTATCACAAGTCTCGTGTCAGGGAATCAAGACTTTTGGGTTATTCTTGTCCCTGCCAATTAGGAGGTTACAAGTGTTAATTCACAGAGCTATATATTGTATAGCTTTTCTTCCTTGAAACACAAGGAAACTAGACATAAATAAGATTAACTCAGACTGAACAGGTCCAGAACCCAGGGATGCTGTTTCTCTAGGAGTGACCCACAGCTTCCTCTTCCATGAATCCAGTTCCAGTTTTGTGGTACATATTCCTGTATCCTTCTACATGACGGCCCCCTTTGCCAAGGAAATGTGCTCAGTTCTCTCTGGTGTCAGCTATAATCTCGGGTGGAGCGTATGTTCTGGAGGTATTTAGAACAGATCACTAAGTGGATGCTATACTATCCTCAATGCACTTAGGCTGCCCGTTTTTCTGCCTATGTCGGTTGCTAAGGAGATCAGTGTGAAACTGGGTCCCTGTCCTAAGGGGTTAATCATTTTACACTGCTCACTCCCCACAGAAGTCATAATCCGCTGTGTGTGAAATCACATTTAGTTGCTGTGAAAATGATTACGATGCCTGGAATGGAATATTATGGCTTCAGGTGGGGAGATAAGTAGAGAGAGCAGATGGACTCCCAGAAAACACAAAAGTTCTTCCAGGGAAGAACAGTCACTACTAAAATAGAGTGTGCTGGAAGGATGGTACAGTGAAAGAAAATAATTTGGGATATGGAAATTGACTTTGATGGTGGATTTTCTAGTGGTTTCCTCCTTTGTTCGTTTATTCATTCTTTTTTTAAAGCCTGTAACACTGTCATTGAGGCACTAAAAAGATAATTGCAAAATCCAGAAAGTGGTAGAGAAAACAGGGACTGGGAAATGGAATAGAGTAGCCACTGTGAGATGAAATCCCTGGTTAACAATGAATTTGGGAATTCTTTCCCCTCCATGGGGAGCTGTTAGGAGGGAGAAGGAACTCCACCATCCTCAGATCAAAATTCCAGAAACAGTATCATGACTGCTATAATATGCCAAAAGCGAGTATCAGTCCACTAGTGAGCAGGTTATAATATCTTACTCACCCTTGAAAATAGGGCCAAATCCCAATAATTTGGGAGAAAGGAAAATGTAAAAATTAAAATTAAAATAAATTAACATGCAAACATAGGCCAATCTTAAGATATTTAAATTATATTCAATGTGAAAATCTAACAACTTAAAGTAAATGAGAATTAACAAGTGCATACAATGAACTATGCATGAATCCTTAATTTAAAAATATTGCTTAATGAAATAAAATAGTGATCACCAGGTGCCGGGGATTTAGCTCAGTGGTGCTGCTGCCTGCCCCACAAGCACCAGGACCCAAGTTTGATCCCCGTACTAAACACACACACACACCC